ATATCGTCGTGTCATTCAGTCACCCCCTCAAGTTTCATTGGTTTGTTCTAGTGCTTTATATACACCCCCAGCTAATTTATCTACTCATATTAATGGGCCAACCACTTTCTTTACTACCACAATTAAGCCGTATAACTGGACTCACTCAGAATGTGCTTCCGCAGACCCCTCTGTAGTTGTGGTCTCCGCTCCTCTAGCTGCTTATTCGCTTGGTCCTTCAGCGCCGCCTCATGGCTTCGATAGGGCAGTCCAATTATATCCCACCGACCAGACTCAAACCCCATTAGCCAAGCAGTGGATAGGGACTCACTTTGGAAATACACCATCTCGGCCCGAACTCCTCGGACTTAAGGAATCCTTTTGTCCTCTCGCTGTTCCAGCCCCATTATCATCTTCTGCTACTACTTGCCCCAATCTCATCACTACCTTAGATTCTCATTCTGTTTCATTGTCTTCATCTTCGCCTATCTCTCATAATCTGGTACTCCTGGATCCAATAAATTCTCACTTTCCGCGAGATGAGCCAGAATCTTTTGCCTATCCTAAATTCGATGGACAGTTAACTACTACACACGATAGTGAGCCAACAAGCAAACCGGATGATTGGAGCCCAATAGACAAGCCAGGAACCTGGTCCTATCTGTCTGGCAGGAGTTTCAAGAAAATAGACATTTTGAATGAACCATGTCTGGATAAGTTGCATCAAAAGGATTCTGTTTTCAACTTTTATACTTGCAGGCTACGCCGTAAAACATCAAAAATGACCTGCAATGCTCTTTTGCAGCCTGATTCTGCTGTAGTTCATCATCATTGTCTTCAATCACTCTTACACCGACATAATTCTCAAGTTTCTGAAAAAGACAATGTTTTGGGCCTTCATTCTTCCTCTGATCAGATCAAATCCAGTGTTTCTATATATGCCACCAGACATTTGTCAAAGGCTTGGCTGGGCCTTCGTCCGGTACAGCTTCCGCTACAGTCCTCTACTTCGGATGGCCTACGCACCAAAGCTGTCTCCCCCACAAATCTCTCTTTTGCCGCCAAGCGTCTTCTTTTCGAGGCTGCACCTAAGGAATGAATTTTTAGGGCCTATATTCAGATTGGCCTCTTCACCGTTTTCTCTGTCTATCTACACTACCTCATTTCTACTACTCATCTTCAATAACTTTGTCATCGCTCAGACTCTTTCCTGTTTACAGTCCCAGCAACCCTTTTATACAGCCTCTAATTATAAAACATATTTTGTATCTAAAGGTTTACATTGTGCATGCACTTGTCTTACTACGGGCTACTTTATCTGACTCGTATATTAACTAGTGCTGATAACTTTTCCTCATTATATCAATGCCCCAGCTTTTCTGCTTGCCTCTCATGCACCTACTTCTCTCATTTTTAATCGTCCTTCAGCGCAAACTTTCAACCTCACTCAAGTGTGACTATCCTTTCTGCTGCTTTCACTCAGCCCCTCCATTTCAATAGCCATATTTTGCCATATTCTGTGTCCCCTATCTTCTCTAGCTCAATTTCGCCTTTCCTAATCTTTTTATCTTATTCCAATTTTCACCAGTGATCACATTAGAATTAATCCTCTTGGCTCCTCATTTACTCCACATCCTGTCTAATTTTAGTGTATTTTTTCTCGAAATTTGGGCTTTATCTACTATTTGTCTCCATAAAGTAGGGCCAGGCGATCCACTTTCCCCTAGCCTGACCACATATGAGCGTCAGATTGTGCAAATGTGTTATATAGGTGTATTGAACTGGTAAGTTTTTTTTTCTTGGTTTTGTTAATTGTTCAATTACTGCTCCGTTTTTGTTTTGTTAATCATCTTTTATATCTATATTCTCTTTTTATCATTTTAAGCAATTCGGTGACTACTCTTCTTTTTTTATTTCCCCTTTAGGATTTCACATATACAAGCTATTCATTTTGGTAAACGCCTATTATGCCACTTTTCTTATTCCTCTTCAGCCCTCGACTTCATCATCTGGTACATGGAGGGCGTGAAGTGGCTGCTGTTATCCTCCAAATGTCTACATACAGAGACAAAGGCGATTTTCTCTTGCCTACCGTTTGCACCTTTGTGGATTGGCATCCA